AAAAATAAAAATAAAAATATAACTAAAAATCTTTTGCAATTGTCTAGATGCTAGGCCACCGACCACCTAGGCATAATTGAATTCAACATCGGTTTTTTTTTCAGCACTGCTCGTTCTCTTCGATACCAATGCCATTTTGGAAACAATATCCAACTTCACATATCTCAAAGTTGTCTATCCTGAAAGAAGTATCGTATCGAATGCTGAAATACTAATCAATTCTTCTGCTTGTCTTGCATAGTACTTACTTACGTGCCAGTACCAGGCCATTTTTCACAACTTACAGGTAAGCATACCTCTCCTGCGGCACAGTACTTACTTACATGCCAGTACCAGGCTAATTTTCGTGACTTATACAGGTACCATTTTCGGAATTAACTTTTTCTTTCGCACATCGTTCAATTCTACCACATCGGGATGGATTTCTTTTTCATTTTAGCCCCACCTCGCACATAGAAGTCATAACCAACCAGGAGCACTTGTTACGTCCTTTTTACTGCCAAATGCTCTATACTGCTTGTATCATGTCATTTACCTTATTCTCCAAATTTCTATAGACCAAAAATTATTTTTAAGTTTCGTGACCGAAGGAAGCTCAAATCATGTAGTATTTTGTTGCTCAAATCTTGTTCGTATTTGTCTTCTGAATAGGGCCCCACAACTCGCCCTACCCTATCCTGACCAACCACACTCTATCGTCAGGTCTCTTATTGCTTTATCAGCATTCAAGATCATGCATTACATTTCTGGCTAACCCTTCATTCCCGGCTTTGTTCTTATAACAATAACCAACCATAAATTCACAATTAGTCTTGTTCATTTTGACGGACTTCATAATTCCTTCAAGTATTGCCTTTTCATCCTTGATCTTGCCTATGCCATATTGATAGCTGAGTTTAAGGTCATTTTGTTTATTTAAGCTAACGTTTTTCGTATCATTCAAATACCATCTGAATATTTCATGCTCATCATCAGGAAACCTTTGATTACCAATGAATTCCTTATCCATTTTGCTTATAATCTCATGTTGATAACAATGTCCAACATCTATTCTATCGATACTGTCCATATCAGCAAATATTTGATAATTGTTGATTGCCTTATGTCCATCCTTATCAACCCTATTTCCATCAAGGTAACCATTGCTAAGCGTAAATGTTCTATTTGCATTTTCTATTTTTGTTGATTTTTTATAATATACTAATGCTTCCAGTTTATTTACAGCATTCTTGGGCATCTGACTAATTGTGATGGGTCTGGAAAAATGCGATAATTTGTTTTTCACCAAGCTTGTTCCAATATTAACTGACATTATATATAAGAGCAATAATACAGCGATGCTAAGAGAAATCCAAGTATGGTCGTACTTTTTTCTCTTTTTTGTTTCCGTTCATCAAAAATATTAACTGATCCTTTATTACTGGCGGGTTTTGAGATTTCTTTATTAAGCTTGACATCTATACGATCGATATCAATTCCGGATAAGCAGTTTACATTTTTATCATTGATTGAGTTCACTTCTTGCTTATCTGCGAAGTTTAATTTTGTGATGCTAGGTAAACTTCGGTGTTGTTCGACTTTTTCCATCCAAACTGTACACTGGGTCTCGAGTATCTCCTTATTTGGTTTCTTCTGCAATTTATTAAATTGACTATTTGCGGGTTCAACTTTTATAGTATTTATTTTATTCGTTTCTTGGTAAGTTGGATGGCTATATAATTCTTCACATTCTATTTTTAATAAATAGTTTTCATCCTCTTTACTATCTAGGCTTTCATAGTCGCTTGTGTTCCTAGGGTTACCTTTTGGACGACGGATATCTTCCTTTCAATTAGGAGTATAAGCCAGGCCTTTTTCTGTCTTTATTAAACAGGGCATGTAAACTATCTCTTCGTTATTCTTCATATCCTTATTATAGTGTTTCCTACTTCTTAAGCTTTTTGCTTGCCCAGGACATTGCTTTGTTTGACTATTATGTGAGGCCTTATTTGATTGGGTACCATGATTGATGCTTTGCCGTTTTCTTACATTTAGAGTGTTTACTTGGGTTGCTTGGGTTTGATTATTTGGCTTGGGCTTCCTTTTCTGTTTTATAGCTTCCCAACCTGCATAATAGCACTCAGTTCTTCTATTATTGTAGGTTCGCTTTAGATACTTTCGGTTGCTAAAACTAGAATGAGTTTGATGTCGGGGTCTATTGGTTTTATATCGATATGCTTTCTTTAATTCTCCGGGCCTACGATTATGCTGGGTGCTTGGAACTGGTATAGTGTTACGATAATATTCTCTGCTTTCATATTCAGCTATGATTTCTTCGATCTTGCCGATTATTAACTCCCCGAATTGTCTTACATTCATTTCTATTGTAATGGGTAATTGGGCTTTTAGGGTAGTTTGATCTTACAGTTATAATTATTTGAGGTAATAGTTTGGATTGGTATTGTGATTTGGGTGATTAGGGAAGTTCAATCTCACAGTCACCACCAAATGTAAAAAGCGAAATATCCTCTAGTCCTAGATAATGCCGATATGCACTACAACGCAATACTAAAACTAACTAAACTCTCTAACCAGAACACCACAACTAATACAACCAAACCCCTAGTAGTGGTAAGGCAA